AGTATCTGCAGTATCGTGCGCTGTGCCCCAGCCTCGTTCACACCGCCCTCTGGACTTGTCCTTACGGGCCGCGAATATTTTTTCTTATATATATATATATATAAAAGAAAAAAACCTTGCGCGCTGTTCGGTACGGTCAGAGCTTGGCGCCACTTGTGCGACTGCTCCTTCCGTCCGTTTTCTAGTTTGGTGCCTGCGTTCCCCGATTTCGGGCCGCCTGCGTCCTAATGAGGGTCATTTTGTCCCTGGCACGTGCACCCGCTGCCGCGGCCTATGCGCCCCAGCAGCTAATTATCTCGCCCTGTGCCCCAGCCGGGTCCGCCTCGCTTCCTGGATCTGTCCTTGGAGCCGCCAATCCAAATCCCCACCAGCAGTGGGCCGGCTGGCTTGCGCCTGTCTTAGCTAATTCGCCTAGTTCGCGTCCCAGACTCTGCTCTTGCCGCCTGACCGTCGTCTCGCGGCCGCGACCGAAAAAACACCCCCACCAGCCCATCCAGAAATGATCAGCAGGGGAGTTGGTGAGTCAGGGGCGGCAGGACGCATGCAGTCGCGCAGCCGTCTTCGGGAAAACCAGGATCACACATAGCTTCCCGCATTAAAGCTTAAGATGGAAATCCTTGCAAGCTACGACGGTGCTTCGATGAGGGGTGAGGGGTGTTTCGATGACTCGTAATGGCTGTTGCACCGATTTGTATCTTAAGCACGCGTGCGTCTCGAAACTTGGAACCATCTTCGGGCTCGTTTGGGGCTTTCTTAGGGCCCTTTTGGGGTCCTCCTGGAGCTCTTTCTTGGGGCTCTGTTGAGGTCCTCTTAGGGCCTTTTTGGAGTCCTCTTGGGGCTCTTCGGGGGCGTGTTTGGGCCCTCTTAGGGGCTTTTTGGGGATGCCTGAGTGGCCTCTTGGGGCCGTCTTGGACCCTTTCGCTAAAAAGAGGGGGTTCTTAATTCGGACCCCCCCATCGGAGGCTCAAAAGTGTCGTCCTGGGGTCCTCTTTGCCCGCTCTTGGAGCGCTCTTGGGGCCTTCTTGGGGCCCTCTCGGACTCCTCTTGGGGCTATATTGGACCGTCGTGGGGCCATTTTGAGGCTTCAAGAGCGCATCGGAAGCGAAAAGGCGACAAGGCCAAACACATTGTTTTCCGTTAGGTGTGGGAGCCATTTTGGCCTCCTGGGGGGAGTCTCTGGAGGCCTCGGAGGGCACTTGAAACCTTCTTGGAGCCGTCTTGGGCCTCTTGGATGCGTGTCGGAGGCTATCTTGAGCCAACGACTGCTCTCTTCGACCATGTTGGAGGCCATCTTGCGCTCTCTGCAGCCCTTTTGGGGCCATCTTGGACCAAAAAGGACTTGCACTTCCACGCGCCGCCCAGCAGCGAGCAATGCGGCAGTGCCGCCGCCGCCGCGTGCCCAGGGTGCCCCGGCGTCCCGATGCACGAGCGCTCGGAACGTGGCCTCTGCTGCCATGCGTGTGGTGGAGAGTAGGAACGTGGCGGCTGGGCGTTTTCGTGCGGGCGGTGTTGCGCGCTAGTGCGTCGGGCGCGCACACCTACACTACCCGCTGAGATTGGAGGAGGCGGAGGCGGCGGTCGAGATCGAGGAGGCGGCGTCGAGGAAGCCGCAGGTGCTGCCGGAGGCGCTCAGCTCGCACCAGCGGCGGCCGAGGGCCCGCCCCGGCGTGACGGGCGGCTTGCGCGGGCGGCGGGGGCGGCGGCGGCCCCGCCCAGGTGCGACGGGCGACTCGCCCCGGCGGTGGCCCAGCCAGGGTGTGACGGGCGGCTCGCGCTGGAGGGACCTATTGCTGGCGTCCTGCCGCCGCTGCCTTCCGCCTCCGAGAGCGCCGAGCGGGCGTGGGAGGCCCTTGCGGCCCCATTGCTGTCTGCGCCACTCCGCGGCGATCGGCGCGAACAGCCACGGCGTGCCAGCATTGCGGGGCCCAGGGCGAGCAGCGCATTACGACTTGGTTGTGCCGGGACTGTCAGCAGGCGGCGCGCATCGCCTGCCACACGCGGCGTCGCCGCGTGCCGGCCTGCCACAAACTCCACGCGCGCGCCGCGCAGCGCTGCCGAGCGCGTCGCTGACGCAATGCTGGGCGCTGCGCTACCGCCCTTGCACTCTGCCAGGGTTCCCGGCCTGCTGCCGTTCCCAGCGTCAGAGCCTCTAACCGCCCAGACGGACGCCTGCAGCTCCTGGCAACACTAGCGCGGCCGCTCATCTTGAAGCGAACGTCGACACGGCCGCCACGCTCGAGTCCCTGGCCGCGGCGGGCCCCACACAAGGCACTGCGGATTCGGGGAGGGTGCCTCGGCATCTCGTCGGCAGCATCACCGACGCGCGCGCCGCAGCCCCCGGCGAGTTCGCCGCCCCGCGCTGGGCGCGCGGCCCCTGGGCGGAGGCCCACGCACGGAGGCCTTATGGTTGCACATCCTGCCCACGCCGCTGGCGCACCCGACGCAATGGGGGCCGGGCGAGAGCGCGGACCCAAATTCGAGGACATCTGGCGCCGGTTGCCAGTCTCGGTGGAAGGCCATCCGCGGACAGCCGCGCGGCCGGGGCCTACAACGACATACGCTTGGCCCAGATGGGCAGATGATCGCCAGAGTCTGCCTGCCGCTCTTCGCGAGCCAGAGGAAATCACCCAGGTGGAGGACGTTGATTTGGAGGCTCTGTCGAGCGGGGAGGTGCGCCGCGCGACGCGGCAGTCTCGACGCGCGCGGCTGCCCCGCCCCTCCTGGGCGACACGAGCGGCGACGTGGAAGACGTCGCGAAGGCCCCGTTGCGCCTGGGCTGGCCGGCCCACCTCGGGCCTCACATGGCCGAGGCGGTTTTGCGACGCAGGAGCGCAGGAGGGCCTGGCGCGAGGCTCAATCTTGGCGCCCTGTGCCGGCCCAGAATGTTGCCCCGCATAAACATCAACCCGAGACATTGGAGGCGGCGCATCAAGGCGTCGCGCCCCTGGTTGCACAGGGGTGCAAATATTCTTCTCATCGAGCAGGGCTTTGAGGCTTCAGTGGCGGACGCGCTCTTCGAAATTCCACAGTCGCAGTTCGCGTGCCTCCTGGACACAAGTGGCCCCGGCTGCGCTCACGAAGGGCAAGTCGTCCGCGTCGGCCCTTGACGGGTGGTCGATCCGGCACGCCGCCACTCGTTGCAATGTCTTCTTTTTCGTCGCGACCGGGGTCAATCCAGCTGACCCGGTTTCGCGACAGTGCGATGATGCACGGGATTAGTAACAGGGTGACATAAGTGGCAAGGAGACAGACAAGGGCGAAGGTGGGCAGTCTTGCCGAGGGCGTCGCGTCCTTGCGAACGACGCGGCGCGGCGCGGATCAACGCGCATTTTTTGATTTCATCCAGGGCCGCGCGATATCCGACGACGCCAGCCATGAGCTGGACGAGGCCGCGCGCGCCACACTCGAATCGTAGTGACAGGAAGGCGAGCCGCAAGCAGACGCGAATCTGCACGCCAGCACCTGGCATTCTCATGTCACGGGGAATCTGCCCACGCACAGGGCAAAGCGGCTGCCCCAGGCTTGGGGCCGGCAGGAATTGCATTCAAAAGCGAGGGCATTCAGCAAACTTGCCGCGCGAGTTTGCGGCGGGCGCTCTGAAATTGCCCGGCTTCCAGGCCACGGCTTATCTGACGGCCGTCATGCTCCATTGCGTTCTGGGCGCGCCCGGGGGCTTGGGTCTGAGACGGGGGCAGGTCACGTTCGACGAAAGGCGCGACCGCGCTACTCTGGTGCCCCAAGAACCAAGACGGGCAAGCGCCTGAACGCGTTGGAGAGCGCGACCGCTGAACGCCTCACAACTCGCGGCGTGCCGCGCCAATTGCTGTGCGACAAACTCCCCGGAGATCGATTGCGGCCCGATTCGCCCGCCAACTGGAAGCAATTCGAGGAAGTGCCGAAGGCGTTGCATCCTGGCGCGGGGCCGCACAGCCCCTATAGCTTCAGGCGAGGCGACGCGTCGCGCGACTTCAGGTCACGCGGGCGCATTGAGAAGGGCCCAGAGCACGGCCCCACGCGAAGGGGGGGGGTGCTTATGCTCTGGAGACGAGGGGGAGAAAAGGATTCAGACCCCCGGAGACCAGGACATAGACTAATCAGGACACTGGCAAGTCGGGCAAACGACACCCCAATTGCAGCTTTTGTTTGCTGCGCTGCAGGATCCGAGCTTCTGTCCAGATTTGGAGGGAATTCTGTAGGTTTTGAAACTGCTGCCTGGGTTCATCCCGCGAGCGTTGCGTTGCAGTGTCGTTCGCGCCGCCGTCTGGGGCAAATTAGTTTCGGGGGGCGTTCGTTGGGTGTCCTGGTCTAGCGTGCCCAGGTTTACGGGACTTTGAAGGATCAGCAGCACTGGGCTTCCGTAGCTTCGGCTCGCCCTCCCGCGCCGACCATGTGCCTCGGCGCGCGCGCCCTCGCGCAGCTGGGCCGGCGCCGGGCAAGGGGGCCCCACCTGGGCGCGGCTTCCCGCGCGCGGCGGGCGGCCTGGAAGCTAGTCGGGGGGGGGGCAGGCTGGGACCGAGCACCGGAGCAAGGCACGCCCTTGCTAGCGGAGACGCGAGCCCCCCTGGCCCGGGGCCCCCCCTGGCCGACGGGAAGAGCACATCCGGCCCGGCGAGCGGCGCGCGAGAAGCTCCACGACGCAGTCGATGCGTCTACACGCCCAGATCTTGCGCGAGGTCCAAGGAGGAATCATCGTCGTTCAAGTGCACGGGCTCCTTGCGGGCGCGGGGGAGCCACGACAAGCGCTGCCCGGCCACCTCCCTCGCCCGCGCAAGCACGCCCCCAACGAGTCATCGACCTCCCGCGCCGCGAGGGGGGCCCCATGCAACGCCCGCGCTGCGGGGTCTGCCCAGCCCCCCGCCCCCCGCGGGGCGAGAGCCCCTTCGACGCCACGCGGGCGCTTGCGGACGTCCCCGCCGACCACGCAGTCCGGGCGCAGGCGCGGGGGGAGGTGGCGGCTATCCTAGCGGACTCGTCGGCGCGCCCGATCTGCGCGGCGCGGCGGGACGTCGCGCGCGAGACCTTCGAGGTCCCTGGGCCGAGTAGCTGGCCCAACGCGTTGCCCCTCGCGTCGCGAAGACGCGGCATGGCCCAACAGCGGTTGCAGCATTCTCGCGGAGATGTTCACGCGCGGCCGTCGCGCTGCAGCAGATGCCGCGCTTTCGGACGCCGCCTTGCTCACGCCTGTCAGTCAGGGCAAGCGGCGACCTGACGGGTCGTGGAAGTTCCGGCCCGCGGGCCTGATAGACGTTCCAGTCGAGTTTGCCAGCGGCACCGCTGGCGGGAAGGCTGCATTCGGTCTCGCGCCGGAAGGGGCCCCCACGTGCATCGAGACATTGCGCGGGCGGCCTGTTGCCATGGCAGCGCCTGCCGCGCGCGGAGCCAGGGGCCCCAGGCCCTTCCCTTTCGCAGGAAGTTATTGCCAACGATGCCGCCCTCACGAAGATCGACGTGGAGAACGCTAACGGTCGACTGCAGCGGGCAGGCGCGCTCCGCCGCGTTCGCGAGGCAGCTGCGCCGCTCGCGAAGCTGCTGGCCCTGCAATGGAGGGCGGGCCCGACCCGGATCTGGGTCCGCGTCGGCGATGCTTGGCGCTGCGTGGAGGCGCGGACGGTGGGCATCCTGGGCTCGTTCCTCAGTGCAGTCGCGATGGACATCGTGATTCACGCGCTCCTCACAGGCGCAAGCGTTGCCGAGCGGCGCCGCGCGCCTGCTGACCTGCCAGCGACGGTCAGCATTGCGGACGACTGGTACATCGCCGCGCCAGCGTCCCCCAAGCTGCGGATGCTCGGCGACTTGCAGCCTGCCCTTCTGCCGGAAACCAGCGCCTCGTTCCCGGGAAGTGGTCTACTTCCGTGCCGGCGGTCGACGGTAGTCTGGAGCCGCTGAGAATGCACGGTGCGGACCTCTGCCAGCGCGCGTCGAAGTCCTTCGGTGGCTTGGAGGCCTCTTGATCGGCCTTGCAAGGCAGATGCGCTTCGACGGTTCGCAGCGACCACGTCGCCGCGCCGGCTGAAGGCGGGCGCTCGGGCGGAAGACGCCCGCACCATGCGCGCCGCCTTGCCGAACATGGCCCGGCGCTGCACCGCCCCACGGGCGCGCCACGCTGCGCGCGCGCTGCTGGAGAAGAGCTCTGCGCAAAGGCTGGAGTACGATAGTGCTACGAGATGCGATTGTGCCCGCCTGGGGCGCCACCATCAGCCTGGCAGCGAGCCTGGCTGCGCGGCCGTCGGCTCAGTGCACAACCTCTACGGGGGCCTCGGGATGCGGCCCATGGTTTTAGAGCACGCGCAGGCGGCATTCTGGGCGCGCCGCGTTTCCTCGGAGGCGGACGACCCCATGCTTTCCGCAGCCTTGGGCGCCCTATCGCCAGCCACCTGGATGCGCCTGCGGCAGGCCGCGTGCGGGGCGGCCCGGAGCCCGCCGGCATCTGCCCGCGCCCGGGCCGCATGAAGAAGCGCGGCTCGAGTGCGAGACGGGCCCGTGAGCCGCCGAATTTTTTCGCCGAAGCAGTCTTCGACTTCTACGCGGAGGCGGGCGATATCCCAGGTTCCTCTGCGCTGCTGCTGGCCGCAAGCCAAGACCCAGAGGCCGAGGGGCGCCCCCTTGGTGGCCAGCGGCGGCTGGCTGCGCGAGCGCACCAAGGTCTGGCCGCCCTCGCGGCAACGCAGCTTTGACGTCGCTTGCCCACGCCGCGGCGGTCGCACTTGCTTGCAGGGGCGGGCTGGGCGCTGGCGCCTCCTGGACCTGCTGCTTGCGGGAGGGCGAGGCGGTGCTCCACGATTCCGCGCTCGTCGTCATGTTCCAGCGACGTCTGCTCTTCCACTTGCATAGAGCCCCGGCAACGCGCGCCGTCGAGTATACCCTGCACGCGGCCGCCGTCGAGGAGGTCCAGTAAGGCGCGCGCGGGCGCCCCTTGGACGTCGCCGGCCTACCACGCGTTGCGATGCCCAGTCGGGCCACATCGCAACCGGCTCCACAAGTACATTGCGCGGGCCCTGGCCGAGTGGATCTCGCCCCACGGTGTGCATGTCGACATCGAGCGCTGCATGCCCGAAATGCACCGCATTCACGACGGCGGCGTCATCGAGGAGGCGCGTATAGACCTGGTCGCCAGCTGGGCGGGCGCTTCGGCACCGGCGCGGGACGAAGCCACGGTCCGCTCGGACGCGGAGCGCCAGAAGCGAGACTGCTACGGCGCCGCGGTCGCGCCTTTCACCGCGGAGGCCAAGGGGCGCCCGGGCGCGCCGGTGCAGCAGTTCCTCGCGGAGACTGGGGCGGCGGCCCACCGCGTGGCGACGCTGCCTGGCGAGCTGGGCGGGCAGCAGGCTGCCGACCACTCGCGGCAGATCGCCTTGCGGTTGTCTACTGCGCTGGTGGCGCGGGTGACAGACCTGCCCCTGGCGGCGGTCCCCAGCGCCAGGGCGTTGGAGCCGCGGGCAACGCACGCTTCATTATTCATACTTGTTGCTGCGTCGCCTGTCCACCTTTACGCGCTCCAGGGGGATCGGCGATCATCCTCATCACCACAACCATCATCAACCTTCTCTTCGTTGTCCTCGTTATCCTCATCCTTCTCCTCCTCTTCCTCCTCCTCCTCGCCCTCGTCGTCGTCGTCCTCTTCTTCCTCCTCTTTCGATCCGCCATCCTTTGTTGTTATCATCCCCCTCTTTCCGCTCTATCTCTCACCCCGCTTCGTCCCACATTGATGTTTCCTCTCTTGCTTGTACTCTTCATCCTCCTCGTCATCATACCCCCCCGAACATCTTGTCCCATTTGTGGATCCACTCCAGTTCAGATGATCCGTTTCAGGACCAGGTCCCCGAGACCATCAGTTTGATGAAGCAGATGGGCATCCGCTTGTGGGTGCTCACCGGCGACAAGACGGAGACCGCGGTGGACATCGCCAGGTCTTGCAGCCTCTTCACCAGCTCCACCACCCTGGCTTACGCCGTGAACGCCAAGGACGCAAAGGACGCGGAGGACTTGCTGCTCAAGGCATATTGTGACTTGGAGGGCAAGCCAGACGCTGGCATCGTGCTCGACGGCAGCACCCTCCTGCACGCGCTGCGGGAGCCCCAGTGCCGCAAGGTCATCTACGACCTGGGCATGGTCAGCCGCTCGTGCATCTGCGCGCGCCTGAGCCCCCAGCAGAAGCTGCATCTCGTCCAGCTGGTGCGCGAGCAGGACCCGACATCCATCACGCTCGCGGTCGGTGACGGCGCGAACGACGTCCCGATGATCTACGGCGCGCATCTCGGCATCGCGATCCGCGGGAAGGAGGGCACTCAGGCGGTGCAGGCGTCCGACATCGCCATCTCGCAGTTTCGTTACCTGATGCCGCTGTTGCAGTGCCACGGGCGCCGTGCGTACAGGCGCGTGGCGCTGTTTTTGTGCTTCTTCTTGTACAAGAACATCACGCTCATCATGCTGGACATGGTGTGGATGTTTCAGTTTAAGTTCAAGGGCATGGTCGCCGTGCCAGAGTGGCTGTCTATCAACTTCAACCCAATGTTCACATCGTTACATATGCTTCTAGTGCTCGGCCTCGACAGAGACATCTCAGACGAGGATGCCAACAAACATCCAGCTCTTTACAAGATCGGCCCTGCTCGCAAGCTCTTCAATTTGAGAGTGTTTTCCAAGTGGGTGGTCATAGGTATCTACCATGGCGCGGTCTGTTGGCTGGTGCCTTTCCATCTCATAGATCCTGATATTGAGCATCTCGTGAAGGATGATCCCTCCGACTTCTGGACCTCCTCTGTCACCTCTTTCTCGTCCGTAGTCTTCGTGGTATGCCTCAAGCTGATGCTCGTCGCCCAGAACCCCTGGGGGCTTCACACGTGGCTTCCCACGCTGATCTCATTCATCATGCTCGGCGTCGTAGTTTTCTGTTTCAGCTATGTGTGGTTCGGTCCCACGATGCAGCCCAACATGAAGGGGATGTTTGGTACCATGGTTGAGAACAAGAATGTTCCGTTGTCGATGATTGCAGTTTGTGTGATTGCTTTGGTTCCCGACGTGACCATGCTCGTTGTCCAGCAGTTGTTCTTCCCCTCCGAGCTGGACACGGTACGCCGCAAGTCGCGGAAGCAGGAGGCCATCTCATAGTAGTTAGCCGCTTCATCCGCCTCAGTTTTCTCCCTCCTCGTTGTCGTCTTCCGACGCAGTTGTTGTTCCCATCATCATCATCATCATCATCATCATCATCATCATCATCATCCTCATCCTCATCCTCAGCATCATCACCATCCATCACCATCACCATCACTATCACAAACATCATCACAACCATCCTCATCATCATCAGCATCATCATCATCATCCTTGCCCTCCTCGTTCTCCTCCTCCGGTCGATGACCGTATTTGTCCAGCGGCTTGCAATTCGCGCCAGTGGCGATTTTCCGACGTGCTGTCAGAATAGCCAGCAGCGCCATGGCGTGATTTCGCCCAGTTCCCCGGAGTCTGGAGGATGCCCCTGCTCTTCCTCTTCCCACATTCGTGCTTCTCATCTATGTGTTGCTCTGACATTCCTTGTTTCCAACATCCTAAGTGGACTTCTTCTTTTCTCTGGACACCCCCCCGCAGGAAGCAGAAAGAGTAGAATCACCACCACGACATCATCACCATCACCATCATCAGCATCAGCATCATCATCAACATCATCATCACCACCATCGCCATCACTAGCATCATCATCGTCAGGACCAGCATCACAATCGTCATCATCTGCATCGTCATCGTCACCATCATCATCACCACCATCATCATCATTAGCATCATCATCGTCGTCATCATCATAATCATTATCGTCGTCATCCTCCTCAGCAGTGTCTACGTCATCTCGCACACTCGCCTCATCATATCTCTCTCTCTCTCTTGCTCTTTACGCACCCTGGTACACAAACACCAACACACGCACACACACACAGACACACCACGCTTAAGTCGGCGGCGCGGGCGCAGAGAAGCCTCAGGCGCGGTCGGCTGGTGGAGGTGCCAATTGCGAACGAACTTAGTTGAACGCGCCATGACGAAAGAATCCAGCCACGGCCATGCAAATGGGTGGTGGGAACAACGGGAAGCGCTGCAGAGCCCAACATGCAGCGGCCAAAAGCAAAAACCGCAGAACGGAAGCTCGACGTGGGAAGCTGGAGGCGCGAGCAGCAGTCTGGTGCTAATTGAAGTCTAGGGCGCCGAAGAAGGATTGTAAAGTTGCCAGGCCAGCCAAATGGGTGGCGATGCCAGCGCACAGGCAGGGAACTTCCCGGCAAAGCCACGCCACCGACCCTGCAGCGGGCAAGGGCCACTTGAGGTGATCGGGTCACACAGCAAGAGTTCTGCGTGACAAGATGATCGCGCGGCCAAGGCTGGCATAGCCTTGGACAAGGACAGAAGCTGAACGCAGGCGTACACGCACGCACACACAAACACACACACACACAAACAAACAACCACACGCACACACACACACACACACACACACACACACACACACACACACACACACGCACGCACGCACGCACGCACGCACGCACGCACGCACGCACACAAACACAAACACAAACACAACAACACACACACACACACACACACACACACACACACACACACACACACACACACACACACACACACACGCGCGCGCGCACGCACGCGCGCACGCACGCACGCGCGCGCGCACGCCCGCCCGCACACACACACACACACCAACTCACCTGGTGGAGGTCTCGAGCGGGAGCCTCGTCTGTGAGTGAATCGCGGGGAAATCTCGAGCAGGAGCCCTTTCCTACGGGATCTCCATCTCATGTTGGTAATCCGAGAAGGCCATCCGAATCATGTAAGTGTCGTCGCGGTCAGACTCTTTAGGCGAGGAAGTCTCGAGCGGAAGCAATCCGAGCGGGCCATCCGAGTCTTGTTTGTGTCGTCACGCTTGGGCTCCTCAGGTGAGGAAGTCTCGAGTGGGACCCACCCCCCCTCCTTATGTGGGGTCCCCACCACATGCTGGCAATCCGAGCGGGCCACCCGAATCATGTCACTGTCGTCACGTTCGGGCGCAGGCGAGGAAGTCTCGGGCGGGACCCCCCCCCCATATGGGGTCCCAACCTCACGTTGTCAATCCGAGCGGGCCATTCGAATCCTCTTATTGTCGTCACGTGGGGGCACAAGCGAGGAAATCTCGAGCGGAAGCCCCCCTCCCACTCCCCATGAGGAGTCCCCACCTCACGTTGGCAACCCGAGCAGGCCATCCGAATCCTGTAACTGTCGTGGCGTTGGGCTCCTCAAGGTTGAATCTGGAGGACGTCTCGAGCGGGAGTCTCGTTCGTCAGTGAATCGCGAAGAGGTTTCGAGCTGGAGCCCCCTCCCTACGGGGTCTCCACTGCATGTCAGTGATCCGAGCAGGTCATCCGAGTCTTGGAACTGTCGCCAAGTGTGGGCTCTTCAGGCCTGAATCTTGAGGAGGTCTAGAGTGGGAGCCTCGTCTGTGAGTGAATCGCGAGGACATCTCGAGCGGACCCCCCTCTCTGCGGAACCCGCGCTTCATGTTAGCAATCCGAGGTGGTCATCCGAATCTGGAGATTGTCGTCAAGTTTGGGCTCCTCAGGCTTGAATGTTGAGGAGGTTCCGAGCGGGGGCCCCCTTGTGCAGCCTGCAATTCACGTCAGCAATCAGAGCGGGCAATCCGGTGCATAATCATTGTCCTCATTTTCGGATCCCTTAGGCTTGGATTTGAAGGAGAGCTATAGTGGGAGTCTCGTTTATGAGTGAATCGCGAGGACATCTCGAGTTGAAGCCCCCTCCCTATGGAACCCGCGCTTCATGTTAGCAATCCGAGGTGGTCATCCGAATCTCGCGATTGTCGTCAAGTTTGGGTTCCTACTTCTGGCGTCGCCTCGCAAGGAGCATCTCGGATGAAGATCACGACTTAGCGCGCCAACAATTGATCATTGCATATTGCATGTACAATGCGCGCAGTTACTCTTATCACACGCCTCTGGATCCTTCCATGTGTGCCCGATCCGCTCGGGCGCAGATCTTACAGCAGGCAGACGTTGGTGACCAGTGGACATCATGTCGAAGCGATGTGCGAGGAGAAGGAGGAGGAGGAGGCCCGAGGAGGAGAAGGAGATGTAGCAGGAGGAGGGGGAGGAGGAGGAGGCACGATGAGGAGGAGGAGGAGGAGAAGAACGAAGGGGAAGCAGCAGAGGAGGAGGAGGAGGAGGAGGAGGAGGAGGAGGCAAAATGAACAGGAGGAGGACAGGGAGGTGGCGGGGGAGCAGGGGAGGAGAAGGAGGAGGAGGAGGAGGAAAAGGAGGAGGAGGAGGAGGAGGAAGAGGAGGCGGAGGATGCGGACGAGGAGGTGGAGGAGGCGGAGGAGGAGGTGGAGGACGAGGAGGATGAGGTGGAGGAAGAGCAGGCAGGAGGAGGCGTGGGGAAGAGGAGGACGCAGGAGGAGGAGGGGGAGGAGCTGGAGGCACGAGGAGGATACGCAGGCAGGAGAATGAGAAGAAGGAGACAGGAGGAGGTAGGAGTGGGCAGGAGGACATTCCCAGGCAAGCTGGACATATCATCATGCGGAGTCCTACCGTCGCAGTAATGGTGTACCCGTCATCCGTACCTGCATACTTCCTTCATCCTTTGATTATCATACATATCAGTATGTCCCTCCTCCTTGTCTTCACCTTCTCCCTCTTCTTCTGTACCCTCCCCATCCGCCGCCGTCTCCGCCTCTTCTTCCTCCTCCCCCTCCTCTTGTGCTTCATCCTGGTCCCCCTTTGTCCTCCTCTTGAGGCCGAGGGAAAGATGGTGGGGGAGAGGAGGGGGATTACTTCGTTCCTCACCGCTGTCACTGTCCCTCACGCTTGGACTGCAGACATGATATTACTGCACCTAGTGCCGCCACCGCTCCTTCTGGACTGGATCGGAGGAAGTCCCAAAAACTCATCATCGTCCCTTTGAATTCTCATGTGTGAAAAAGTCTTGTCGATCCCCCCTTGTCTGGCTCGCATTGAGCTCTTTTTGTTGTTGTCAGGGAAGTTGTGCCCCGGGAAGTTGTGCCCTGGGCTACAGCAACAGCTCCTGCTTTAGATATCCTCGCAAGTCAGTTGGGAATTGGATCGCGTTCGAGCGCCTAGCGATTTACTCCTGAATCGCGCTCTCGCCTGGGACTTCCTCATAACTTACTTACGCGCTGCGCTCTCAACGCCCAGGAATCGCGCTCTCGCTCAACACTTCCTCACAACGCATTCAGGACCCGTGCTCACGCCTGAGCTTTCTTCACGATTGATCAAGCTCGCTTCAATGCCCCGCCCGCCGGGCCCGCCCTTGAGGGCCCGCCCGCCTGGGCCTTTAGTGTCGGCCCGCCCGACCCGCCCGCTTGGGTTCGCTTGCCCGACCCGCCCGTTAGGGTCCGCCCGCCAGACCTGCCCGTCAGGGTCCGCCCGTTCGCTTATCCGGAGGCCCGCCCGCCAACATTGTGGCATGCCCGCCCGCCCGACCCGCCCGTCAGGGTACGCCTGCCAACCTTTAGCTTTAGTGTTCCTACCCCTTCCTGCGAATTGCTTGGCAGCCTTCATCCTTCTCCCCCCCCCTCTTGCCTGCCTTCCTTCTCTTTATATCCTCCCATCCTCGCTTTCTCCTTTTTCCCCCTTCCTTCTCTTTATATCCTCCCATCCTCGCTTTCTCCTTCTTTTCGTCATCCCGCCTCTGCCTATCTCAGGGGCCACGCCTAGTACACGTGGCAGGCAAGGAAGATATGCCGCCGAAAGGGGTACGATCGAAGACGCAGAGCTTGGGTATCGAGGGCTGGGGCGATCTATTCGTGCAGTGCCACTCGAGCAACGAAGAGCGAACAACCTTGAATTGATTGTTATGGGTGTCCTGTTCCCTGCGTCCCCTCCTCGCCCTTTATCTTGCCCCTTCCCATTACCATCATCATACTCGTCAGTCTCGTCGTGCCCCTCCTCCCCATGATGTCACCCATACGATTGCTATGGGTGTCCTGTTCCTTGCGTCCTCTCCTCGCCCTTATCTTGTCCCTTCCCATTACCATCATCATACTCATCAGTCTCGTCGTGCCCCTCCTCCCCGTGGAGTTACCCATACGGTTT